GCACTCTCAGTCAGCACATGGATACACACCTTAAATCTAAATCAGACCAGGAATCAAAGTAATAGGCACTATCAACCATCACACACTGAGGCACCATTATTTTGGCACTCCCCAGCCTTTGGACCTGTTTTTGAGGTGCTGAGCCAACTGGGGCCTTGACTGACTCTTAGAACTGGCTTCATGTTCCCCCAGTGGGCACTGTTGTGGTGTGTGAACCCTTGGGGAGCCTGGTGCTGGATTCCAGCCCATGGATGGAAAAATGAAAGGGAAAGAGAAGAAAGAAAGAAGTGATCCATGTAACCACAGAGCTGACCTCAGCAGTGTGCCAGCTTTTAGAGCTGATTTGGAGGGCAAAAATAATCAAGGACACAGTGGTAAAAGGATGCAAGACAGGCTTCCTCCAGGCAAAACTCATTGGCTGCATTTCTCTGACTAAAATAACTGGTTTTCCAGACAAAGGAAATGTTGTAGATTTAATCTGTTTGGTGAAGAACTCCTTTTGCTGCATGGGAAATGCTTACTGGTGACATGCTGGGAAACATAGATATAATTGTGTAATCCATAGAGAGATGAGAGCTGCCTACCATCTACCTTTAGTGCTGCAAAGGAGGATCAGGTATGAAAGGAATTTAGATCAGTTACTAGTGGGCTTCCTGAAAGGTCTGTCTTGCATTTGATCTAATTTAGTATGCTCATTAATGACCTTGGCACAAAAAAGAAGAAAACTGCTGGAAAATTGAAGAAAATGCTGACAATACAAAGCCTAGAAGCAGCGTCAATGCCTCAGAGGATTAGGATGTCAAGCAGGAAGAACTGAATAACCTTCAGTACTGCAATAACAACACTAGGATGGAAATAAACAGCACACACTGCAAGGCTGAGGGCTCAGGGACCAATAACAAGCATTTCTGTGTTAAAGTAGGGTTCATACAATGAAATAAATGAGGAGGAAAACATCTTGAATGACTGTAAGCCACAAATATGATGCAGCCATGAAAAAAGCAATAAGAAGTTAAAGTAATGGATTTAGCCCAGAAAAATGATTGAAGGAGGAGATACAATGGTTTGTTGTGATCCTGTGGCAAATAGCCCAAGGCTGAAAGGAAGGGAGGGAAAATACTCAGTAAGAAAACGAACAGAGCTGATGCCCAAAAAAAGGGCTGAAAAATGGCAGTGAGTAACTTAGGCTGGAAATAAAAGGTTCTGACCCACATGAACAGCAAGGTCAAAGGAGAGCCTTCCAGTGAGGGAAGGAGCCTGTGGAAAAAGCTCAGCTTATAGAAAGCAGTCTAAGATATGCTGCTGCTAGTAGCAGAAAACTAACCCTTGGGCTCAGGAGATATTTTCAAGTCCTAAACAGTGAAAATAAGTGCTCAGGGTCTCCTGTGGTTTTCTGTAGATGCAGCCAGGGATTTCTGGCATTTATGCTGCTGTTCAGCATCCATGTAAGAACACCAAATATTCAGCAGGCCCCTGAAAGGACTTAACCTCTCCTAAAATCTCTTACAGCAAAGAGGAGAAAAATTACCAGCGTTTGCACACAGTCCATGACAAGTCCAACAGTTGGGGAATTTCATGTGGTTTTGGTGCTTTTCCTGCGTTGGAGGGGAGCAGTTTCACAGCCCCAGCCCCAGCCATGCATGCAGAAGTGTGTGGCCACTGGCCGAGGTGTGTTTTCAGTGAAAACAGCTGATGGGATCTGTGATTTGTGAGGCTGGTGCCAGCCCCAGGGCCGTATTTGGGTTGGTGCTGGGCGTGCTGGAAGCGACCCATCCGAGCTGCATGCAGGAATCCAGATTCCATCTGGTTACAGCAGGGTTTTGTAAAAAATATCTAAAGAGCTAGGCAAAGGATTAGAATAAAGAGGTGCTAATAGGGTGCAGTTGGGACAGGAAAGGAAGCTGTAAAGAATTTAATGGAAAAAGAGGGTCAAGGAACATAAAAAATAAAATAGGAAGAAAAAGAGGCATTTTTTTAAAAGGTGAAAGAGTAACAATAATAAAGAATGAAAGATTCTTTTATTTTTGCCAGTTTCAACAAAACCCTCAAGAAAATTCTCTTCTCTGACGTTTAGTTTTAAAACATGTCAGTGTATCCAATCAAGTTTTAAATCCTGCTTTGTTTTCCTCAGATGCTGGGTTGCAGTTGGAGAATTCCAATCTTCTCCTTGGCCTGATGAAAGTACTGTCCCCTGCCCTACATTATTTGGCTCTCCTGAGAGGTGGCTGAAGTTCAAAGGGATATATAATTTACAAAGCACTTTGGGATTGTGCTGGAAGAAAGACACTGTTATTAATAACATATCCTTTTTTCCTCCTGATCACTTTATAAATGTGGGTAACTATTTTTTTAATTTTTTATTGCAATCTCAACAGCAACAGCCTCTTCCTCCACTTAAACAACATGATCTCACCCCATCCCAAAGAGTTTGCAGTCTAGCTTATACCTGGATTGAGAGAGGAAACAAAGGGACAGTGTGGGACAGTGAATTAAAGCTACACAGCCCAACCAAAAGTGAAACAGAGACTGAGTGTCCTCTGACCCAGTCCTGAGCTGGCCAAAAGACCCTCCTCTAGAGATAAATACTTTGAAAGGTGATTCTCCTAAATTTTGAGTGAAAGTGCAAATGCAATTCAGAATGCACAAAACAGAGCTGGTTTACTAGAGAAAGGAGAGCATTGTTCCTTCTTCTGAACTCAGGTGAAGGGCTTAGGTCTGAGTGGAAATGGGAAAGGACCTTATTGTAACAAGATGCTACAATAATTTTACTTGAAACCCTAAAACAAATTCAGGGCTCATAAAAAAAGCATTGACATGGTGAAAGAGAATGGTTTCTTTAAGATGTTCTTGGTCAGAGAATATGCTAAGCATGCTTTTCTAATGTCTGGGTGGGCAAACGCAAGTGGAAATTTAAATTCTACAGAGGCACAGAGAATGTGCTTCTGAAAATGTTTCCAGTTAAAAGCATGTTAAGTGTGAAAGTGTACTCTACACGGAGGGAGTGAGGGAGTGTGGTCTATCAGATCATCAGCAAGGATTCTGTGGCCTTTCCAGGTTCTAAGCACATTCAGTGTCTGCTGTCATTGCTCTGAAAAAAATGGGCAAATGAGAGTGACCCTGTGCAAGGGCTGACTGCAGCTGGGCAGAACTGTGCTAGGCTGTGTCCATAACCTGCCTGCTGGCTCCACTCAGAAGAACAGAGACCTTGGAATAACATTAAGGGCTGGACCCAATTCCCCAGAGGAACACAGGCTGGCTACAGGAGCAGAGTAATCCTTTCTGAGGAGGTTTTGTGTGATTTAACCTCAGCCACTGTCACTGCCCTGGACAGACAGCAGTGCCATGGTGGGAGGGCACCAAAGAGACTTCCCAGGGGCTCAGGGTCATGGAGATCCCTCACTGTGGGTCTCAGGGCTGTGACATGGCCAGAACCTCCCATCCTTGCTCTCAGCTGGTAGAGGCAGAAGCTGCCCACAACTGCCAGAACTTTTGAAGTTGCTTTTCTTCATCTCCACCACCTGGAATCCCTCCTGTACCTGCCTGGGCTCACTCCTGTGAGCTGACAGCTTTCCGAAAGGTCTGGGAGAAATATTTCATGCCAGGGCAGCAACACAAGCAGATGCTTTTTGTTTCTTTCTGAGAGAGTGACATGACAGAAATGCCAGCCTCACTGGACTTCCTTCTTCAAGGAAACAGTTGTTTCCTTGAAGCCATTGGGATTTTGGCTCTCCTTACACACCAGAATATCTCATTATACCTTTCAGTATTTCCTTGTTTTCCAGTTGTTTCCAGCCAAATCAAACAGTTGTTTCCTTGAAGCCACTGGCATTTTGGCTCTCCTTACACACCAGAATATCTCATTATACCTTTCAGTACTGCAAGCTGTACAGCCAATATTGTCCAGCAGCAATAACAGGCAGTGCAGACAGAAACTGAAACCTGAACCAGCCTTATTGATGGATGACCTGACACTGCATTTCCCTGCTCCAGGGCACTTTAATCAGAGTGCAGGTCTGATTAGAAGGAAGTGTGCTGTTTGCTGTTTCCCCCATTGTTTCTGCCAGCAGGATTAGCTTTGTAGGTGCATTCCCCTGCCTTGTCTGATTATCCAAGATGCAACAGCCAGCAGGATGGTTTGAAGACTCTTTTTTAGGTATTGTTCAGCTTTATCTGAAATTGATTTTATCACAGAATATTCTTGGAAGGAACCCACAAGGATCACTGAGCCCACCTCTGCAGTGAACGGCCCATACATGGATCAAACCCCTGATCCTGGTGTTATTGTAACTACTATCAAAATTGGAGTTTCTACACTACTCTACAATGCTAAACATCACTGCAGAACAAGAGTGAACTTTTTTGTTAGCAAACAAACTGAACAAATTGATTTACCTTCCTGTCTTTTGTCATTTTAGCCAAAAATGTCTTTTTTTAATATAACACAGATCAAAACTAATTCAGCTAAAAGTGCTTGCCAAATTTAAAAAAAATAAATATTATTTTTAGAGATCTCTAGTAACTACTGAGAAGAAAAGCACCCTCACTGAGGAAAACATCCAAAATGTGTTTCATCATAATTGAATTTATTGACTTCAGGGTTTTTGTAGTACTGTTTGACAGTTAATCAGACCCCATTCTGTGCTGATTCAAAAAAAGAAAGGTTAGATATGCAGTCACTGTACTCTTGTCTAACTTTATACTGTAAGTTGTTCTGTCTCCCAGGAGGCAACCAAGGGGAAAAGAAAACCATCCCCAAACAATGCATGAAAGCAGCCTGCACAGGTCTGGCCTTACTGACCACAAATTAAACGGGCTTTGTCTGAGGTAATGAAAATCTGACTTGCTCAACAAAAGGAAATGAATATTACAGCTGCTTTCTGTGGCTAACAATGTGTCCCAGTACTTCGAGACATTTTCACTGTGTTCAGCAGATGGGGGCTTTGGAAAGGGGCAGTTTCTGAAGGAAAAGGATATTGGTTTTAGTGCTTTGAGCTCCTTACCGTGACTGGCAGGGGTGTGTGTTACATTTCCTGACCTGGGGCTCGGGGCGGGTCACTCGCTGGCAGTCACTGTCATTCACCAGTGTCATGGTCTTGTTAATGATCCGAGTGCAGGATACGATGGTTTTCCTCTCACCTGGAAGCCAAATCAAAAAGAACTCTGAACAAAAGCACCTCCACTCATCAACCAAAACTCAAAAGCTTGGAGCTCCCTGCTCCCTCCACCAGATGTACTCTACCACCTCTGCAAGAAATCCTATTCTCCACTCTGCCAGACCTTTGTACTGGCATGTTTTGGGGTGTTTCTTTTTTCAGAAAAGCTACAAATCTTTCCCCAGTAATCATGCAATTGACTGTTTCACATGAGCAGCAACTTGGGCTTTCTCCTTCTAGTGTTTAGCGTGGAAAGGAGCTTTAAAACAATTTGTTTTCGTTTCTGGTTCCTCCTCCACAGGTAGCTGTGCCCTGTCATCACCTCGGGCAGATGTGCTGAAGTCGCACCACCTCCCACCCCCTGATAATGTGACTGATAATGACAGGACAGCTGCCTCCTGCTGCTCCCCGGGCAGGAAGTCAGGATGAAAAGGAGTGACTGAGGTTCAAGAGTCATTAACTGAGCTTGTTCATATTTCACAAAGAGAAAATAAAGCCACCAAAAAAAAATATTTCTCATCTCCTGCTCCTCCAGATATACTGCTTTAAAATCCTTGTGGCAGGAGGCATCTCAGGAGGAGTCATAATTTCTCACATAAACTGTGCACCAGGAGTTTCCTTCATCCAGTGTGGCCCCAGGGTTCAGCCTTCCACTGAGTGCCACAGGGAGCATGACAGTGACCAGATGTGACAAGGAAAGCGCTGTGTGACTTTGCCTTACTGCTAATTTTGGTTTCTCACGTTTGTTTTCTAGCCCTGCTTCTGTGTCAGATTGAGTTTATTCACCATCTGCAGCTGAAAATAAAAAAATAACTCATGTTCTGTTAATAAAAAAATATGCAAACATCTGCATGGAAAGGAGAAAGGCCCTTCTCAGCTTGGACAAGTAGCAAAAGCATTGAACAACTAAAATAAAAGTCCAATTATCAAGCTAGTACTGGTGGCAGCCACGCTGGAAGACACTGATTTGATTCAAATTTGTAACAGGATTACAACCAAAATCAGAACAGCCACAAATAAATTTCCTTTTCATTAATGTGAGGGTTTAATGGCTTAAAAATTATTATTTTAATGCACAAGTAGAAGTGTCTATTCTAAAGTGAGTCCTATTTACAGAAAAAAATCAGTAATATCAGTGCACTGAGGGCAGTGAGCCTGTAAATGCAAAGATGAGCTCTTTCCTCCTGTCATGTCACATCATAAATAACTGAGTCTGCTGGTGAAGACAGACTGCCCAGAATGCTTGGAAACGATCTGTTCTCCTCAGGGAACAGCCTGCTTCTCCCAGCACTGCAAATGCAATGGACAGTGCCTGACAAAGCAGGCTCTGGTTTCACAGCACCAACTCCCCCAGGGCTCCAGCAGATGCGTCTGGGCACATCCAGGGATGCTCTGGGAAGGAGCTGTGCCACGTGCTCCTGGGTGGGAGCATCTGATGCAGATCTCAAGGCGCTGTCACAGCCGCCCTGCCCCGCTCCATCCCCGGGGAGGGAAGTGCCTTTCCCTGAGCGTGCCTGGACACCTGTGAGATGCTGCTCCAGGAATGTGGTGGGGGCTGCACACAGAATCCAGGTGCAGCTCCAGCCTGCGGTGACAGAGCGGTGTCCCTGCCAAAAGGCTGGCTGGAAATTAACTGTGGGGATGGGGATCAGAGCAGGGAGAGCGGGTGAGAATGAGCTTTCATTGAATCCATTACTGCAAAGTCCATTTCCATGGCCAATTTCCACCTCTCCTGTGGCTGGAGGCTGCAAACACCACTCAGGAATTCCCACCAAGCTTCCTGGTGTCCCTACCTCCTCCACACTGCACACTGCATCCTTCCCATCCACTGTGTGTCCAGATGTACAAGGAATCCTGTTGCTTTTCTGGCTCACTTCTGTTTTCAGCAGTATAGTTTACAGGGATGGTGTATTCATAATGAATTCCATAATTCTGGTCGTGGAATAACAGCACCTGGTTCGGCAGGAAAAGAGAGGCTGTTGCAACACACTGTGCTGGGAGAGCCAACAGGCTGTGAGATAGCACTGCTGGAAATGCTGGCTCAGGAAAAAATCCCTAAAACATAAATACCTTGTGAAAGGCAACCAAATCTTCATATAGAAAACTTAGACTACAACAGTACTGGTAAAACAGGGCAACTGCAGGAGCAAGAACTGCTTATGACTTGTGAATATTTAAAGCAGTCACAGGGATGTCTAAACCTGGAACTCAAGGCATAACTTTCAACCTCGTATGTGATCAGCAGGACACTGGCTATTCAAAGAGAAAGACAACAGGAAGCATTAAATCAGCACTTTTCATATACCAACTATTTTAAAGAGCATCTAGAGATAAACATCTGAAAGAACAAGGTGATGCTTCTCAGAGCAAAAACAACTACTGCACACAAAGTCCCTTGTCTCCTGGTGCATGTGGCACTCAAGGCAAGCATTACTATTCCTGTTGACAAGATGCAGCAGCAGGGTTTTATGTCTCAGAAAACTGTGGATGATAAGCAAAAGCCATATCATACAGCTTCTGGCAACATACATTTTCATCCCTGCATATTGCTAGAGGAAGGTGAAACCTGCTTCCAACAGCAGGCTATTTCCTATGGAACCACTTGTAATGTCTCTGTTGTTATTACTCCAAAATTCCCTGACTGTTAACAAAGGAACAGAGAAAAATGTTTATGTTTTCATCACAGGCAGATGAGGGTACTGGTCCTGTTTTGATTTACATTTTGGACTTCACTTGGCTCTCACTTTCCCTGGCTTGAGTCAGAACTGATTGGAAAATATCCCATGGAGAACAGGGTCCATGGAATCTGAGTTACCACAGTATTAACAAATGCCATAGAAGTACTACTGTAATGTTCATGCTGTGGCTTTAAACTTATTTAAACTTATTATCCCATGATTTGAGCAGCATTAGACAGGTGAATTGTGCTGGCTCGTGTCACCTACTGAAACAGGAGCAATGCCTTATCAAATAAAGGCTCTCATAAGTGGAGCAAGCAGCTGCCTGTTTGAAAAAAGACAAATTTGCAAATACTATTATCCCCCAACAATAATTGTTTCCCCTTCAGATTTGCACAATCATTCCTACTTAACCAATAATCTCACTAAAGCTGTCAGGAGCTCCTTTAAGCACACAAATGTGCTGAAAGAAGGGGTCCTGGCAGCCTGTGCTGTGAACACTGAAGGGGCTCCACAAACTCAGCACCCACGAGCTGCTCTGCCCAGGGCAGAACCCTGGGCAGATGAGCCTCTTCCAGAGGATGTGGGGAACAAAGACATGATTTTGCTTCAGCTACAGAGAGAGCCTCACTTCCAGGACTGAATACCAGGGCTGAAACCAGCCAGCCATCATTACAATTTCAAAGATGAATGTTGTTTTTTTAAACACAATTCAAACACCAGGCAAGCAGAGGCAGAGACCTTGAGCCCTGGTTTGGCTTTCTTGAAGTGCAGGAGATATGAACTCCTGTTCTTTAGACAGCCTTGTCTAAAGCCCCCTTCTGCTCTGGGAGTTTTTGGTTGTCCTCTGTTGCACAAGGAGGACTAGCACAGGCCTACTTACACAAACATCAGTTTCTCCAAGAAATACACGCACAGCAACGCACTTGGAGAAATGCCTCAAGTATTAAAAACCAGCTCCTAAAAAGAAATCCTTATTATCTCAATATGGGTGCGAGACTAGTGAATGTAAAGGCCCATATGAAACCAATTTCATGCAATTTCGTAGCCATATATAATTGGGGGGTGTGTATAATTGGTTTCAAATGCAGGTCACAATGGATTGACTGAAGCTTCTGGCTCTTTGTCAGTCCAGTGTATTCCACCACTGTTTGAACAACAGTTTTCTATTTAGAGGGAACTGGTAACCATCCTGCCTTTCTTGTGTTGAAAGAATGAAACCCACCACCCTGTATCAAGCAAAAGATTTGTATCTGATTTGAAGCAAAGACTTCATGTGTGCTTTGTTTACCACTGGCAGTGATTTAAAACCACATGTTTTTAATGGTCTGGTAATTTTTACATTCCTCACTTTTAATCATTTCTGTGAAGAAAGGTGAAGAAGGAACATTTCCTCTGCTTATGTCTGCTGAAAGGGCCTGTCTGTATCTGGACAGGACACTCATGGAGAAGCTCAAAATCACTCCTCTGTTAGCTACTTACTCCTTAACAAAGGGGACCATTTCTTTAAAACCAAAGCTCTGCTGATGCTGAGCTTCACAAGATGCCAATATCCAGATTTTACTGCAGTGGACCTCAACCAAGTAATGCCTGGAAGGTTCCAGGAGCTGCCAAAGGAACCCTGCACAGCATCTTCCCAAACGGTACCTGGGCAACTCCTGTTTCTCACATGAGCTTGGGAAGACCTTGGCAGTACAAGGTACTTTGTCAGAGTCCTGGTTTCAGGAGGGAAGGCTTGTGTTAAGGCCAAAGTAAAGAGGAAGCTGATGTTTCTGATGGTGAGGAAGGTGTCATACACCTTCTGTAATACACCTCCTTTGAGTGGGCACACCCTGGACTACACGGGTGAGCAAGGAAGGTGCTGGTGTGCTCAACCCTGCACCTCTGACTACTCCAGCTGTCACCCCTTTGAATCCAGCATTGCACTGGTCTGTGAGGCTGTAAACTCACTTATCTGTCTGGGACAGCAAAGGCAAAACCCCTCATGTTTCTGTGCAGCAGATTTTGACACCAAGAAGGGACTGACAGAGTGGATATTACTGCCAGCTTTTTGTGTGTGTGAAAAGTTCAGGCATCTTTGGAGCTTTTCAAACTGGGTCAGGAAGTGTTGCACAATGAATACCAGCAAGCCAAAAAAATCAGGTGAGGGAAGGGAGAGAATGCTGATTTTTAGCAGTGCTTACAGATAGCTTTCAGAGAACAAACATGGCAAAAATTCACAAGGAGAAGAAACAGCACAGAAAAAATGGAATGGAATAAAAAAGTTACAGGAAACAATGAAAAAACTAATACAATTTCTATGCAAACCTTGCTACAGAACCTGTAAAGCTTTCTGCAGACTTTTAAACAGGAACAACTATATGAGACAGGAATTATTATAGCTGTCTCACAAATACAAATGTTAAGGTTACACCAACATTAAGGGACTGGCCCATGGGTCACCCTGTCACCCACCAGTGACAGCTCTGGGACCACAGTTCTGCTCTTCTCATCCCTGTGGACTTCTCACTCATGTTCAGCCACATGGCTGCTCATAAAATACCAAGCTGGGTTAACAGAAGGGCTATGCTGAACATTAAGAAAAAATGTCAAAAAACACCTTAAACTACATAGAATTGAAAAAAAAAACAATACAGAGAAAACAAAGAACATTTCTGTGTGCAATTAAGTCATTACTTAGATTCAAATTCACATATATCATCTGTGCATGCTAGATCTGTACCTCTTCTGTAAGAGAACAGAGTACTTAAACACAGAATACATTCTGGCATAAGATGAAAAGACATTTCAGCAAATCTGCTTTTATGTTTGTGATCAGGTATGTCCAAGAAATAATTCAGGTTCTTGGGAACCTACATCCTCTAGAATGGACCTGTCTGTGACACATTACAGGGATTTCCTGCCCTGGACATGAGCTGAATGAACACTGCCTGTTCTCCCAGGATGGAGCATCACTTTTGAGTGGGGAGCTGGGCTTCTCCAGCCCCCCGCAAATGCTGCAAAAGAACACTGTGGTGAGGAAGCAAACAATCAAAATTTAACTTTCAGCTAGGACATAAACCCTTTCTGTTGCATCACTTAAGAAACACAAACAAAGGATATAAAGTTACCATCAAGTGCAGTGGTATTTTAGTTGGTCCTTTGGCAGAGATTTTCTCCCACAGCCCCCTTCGCACGTACCGGACAGTGGTGCCTGCGATCTGAAACTCACCAGGAAGCTCAATTTTCCAGTCGCTGTTAATGGATCTCTTACTGGAATCTTTTAAAGCTGGAATGAATCAAACACCACGGAATGAAATGCAAGCAAATTTGTAATTACAATACAGACTACCGAGCCTTTGTCTCAAGGTAGCTCAAGTACAAGATGCAGAAACCTTGTAATGGATGTGAGTTTAAAAGAATAAAACCTCCCCCACTTTTAGATGGCCCATTGTGATGTTTCTAACTTGGATATATTCTGTACTTCAGTTGATGAAGGTATTTTGAGGAATTAACATAAAATTCATAGATCATTTATCTCTACACTTTCCTTTTAAATGCAACAAGACAACTCTGCAATTTAGTTTCCAAGCAGAATTTTCTTTCAGTTTCCAGATTTTGAGACCATATTTTCCTAAACTCTCCTCGAGAAAAAGATCAATCAAATCTTTGTCGATACACACGTGAAGATTTGCAAATGCAGAATACAACTGATGCTGCGTTTGTGTGTGCTCTGTAACCAAACATTGAAAAAATTAACATTCAGCTGTCAGAGCTGTAAAGAGAAGTCAAGTCACAAAGCAGGGGCTAGTCAGTGGGCAAAATGTGAACTTGGCCACCCTCTTTTCAGAGTCCAGGTGCTGGACACAAATGTATAAGGTCAGGTGCTGTAGGGTCACACCCATTTCGTGCCTCTGTGCCTCACTAAGGTCAACATGAAAAGCTCAACTTCAGAAGGAAGATGAATATTGAGAAGAAAACATACTTTGAGTTATATGTCCTTTCTTCCAGCTTAACTATTGCATCAGGATCACTGATGTCCTTCAAATACTCAAAGACAACTCCAGCCATAAGGGCATCACATTACTGTTGACTCATCAGTGGAAGCTGATTTAGGGATTGATGTGTTTTCTGTGTTAGAACAGAAGCAGAGTTATCCAGATGTTGGTGTGATGCACTGAGGGAAGAGAAAATTGGCAGACCCTGCTGCAGCAGAAAGTGCCAGGCCCCTTTGTGGAGATCCATTCACTGTGATCAAATCTGCCCTGACAGCAGACAGACAGAATATCCCACGTGTTACTGGGCTTCCTTAGTTCAAGGAAGTTCAACTGTGTCTTTTGGCTAAGCCTTTAACAAGATGTTTTTTTAACCTCTAGCATCTCATGCCTACTTTATTCTCTTCCAGTAAAGAACTTTGCTCTCACTTAACTGAGTGTGTTGCAAGAAGGTAAGAGATGCTGTTTAAAGCCTTTGGAAGTCAATAGGAAATCTCCTATTGTCATTGCTTTGGATCAAGCCTCCATAGCCAGCAAACCCCCCTGGGTGTGTTTAGGATATATATGTATATATAATTTGTGATGTCTGAACTCGGGGAATCTGGAGAGTGGAGGTCACAATGTTCTCTGCATCTGCATGTGCCTTTTTGAGGACTTGTACACTAGGAATCCTGGAAAAAGGTGGATATCTGTCCTCCTGCACACAACCTTCCTGACAGCTCTCAGAGTCCTATCAAAGGCTCCAAAATCAGGGTGAAGGGGAACTGAAGTGGGAGAGTATTTTTTCTGAGGAAAGTTTCTTCTGACACACAACCCAAGGGTAAGATGGTGTCCTGGTATTTGCATTCTGCAGCAATGTGTCTCTGCCTGTGGCTCACTTCTCATTCTGCTTTGTTCCTCAGTTTACAAAGTACCTTCTGCAAGCTGCAGACACAATTCTGAAGCAGGATTGCTTTCCTCTGCCAAGACCTAGTGGCTTCCAGGCAGATCAAAGCAGTCACCACGCTGGCCCTGAGGAGCCATGGACACAACAAATCAAAGCTGTGGATGAGATAAAACTATCTCCAAGCAGCATGGCTGACTAGGAAAGATAGCCCAGCACATGCTCCAAACTGTCTAAGAGGTTGAGTGACTTAAGTCATGCTTTGGTTCCAGCTCACCATCAAAGGGAGATAATTTGCTGATGAAAACGAACGTTTCATCTTTGTGAACCTCTTTTCTGGGTTTGATTTTGATTGCTGCAGGCACTGCTCCCTTAGTGGCTGAGGAGATGGAGAGTTTGGAAACAGACCTGTTCCCAAAGGTGCTCCATGAGGATTGCAGGAATTGCACTGGGGACTGAGCAGAGCACTTAGGCCAAAGTGTTTTTGTTGCTGTTCGCCTTCACTACCCCATGAGCAAGATCACTGCTGCAGCTACAAAACCTTCCATGTCTCAGACACAGGGAACTCCAATGGCTTTTGTCACAACCATTGGCTGTGTGCTCAGCCCCAGAGATGACAGATCTAAAATCAAACTTGTACAGTAGAAGAGCAGAAGGAATAGGAACCCCAGCAACAACCTGTTAACTTCTGTTTTTCTTGTTGGCTGGAAGGCAGGAACTGACCAATCAACTTCCAAACCTGGCATCTAGTCAGATCTTTATTTCCACCTTGGGTCCCTCCAGCTTGCTTCCCAGCCTGTGGACACAAACTGCCCAGGCATTTCCTGTTCAAGGTGGTTTTTAAGACTTCAGCCAGCCAAGGAAGCCAGCGTGGGTTGCCTGTAGGTGGAGGGAAATTCTTCAGGCACTGCTCCCAGCACATGAAATAATGATTCCAAATTATGCTGGGCGTCTTTCCAGAATGTTGTACCTGGTTCTGAGTAGAAATAGGACCTGATTGGACTCAGCTTTGTCAGTGCTATTGAAATAGAAAATCCTTCCACACTTCGACCTGAATTTAAGAGTGATTGGGATTTTTTTTCTTGGTCATCTTTATTGCCCTACAGAACCCCCCTGCTGTTATTCGTCATCTCAGTTCAGCAAGACACTGGGTATCTTTTCTTTGTGTTTCAAGTGTTCCTTGAAAGAGAAAACCCTGGAAAGCTTAGAGAGGTTCTCCTGGCTCCTGACCATGAACCAAAGAGCTGAAAGCACTAAAAGCTTTAAAAGAGCCAGATTTTTATCTATCTTTATGTGATGCAAACTGGGCCAGCTCCTGCTCTCAAAAATACACAGTCCTAATCTTCACCACCCAGTGGGGAACCATCTGCTTCAGTCAAGGTTATGTTGTCCCAAGGAAGGGCAGTCTCTAACTCCGTGTAAGACTCTCAGTGCTCTGCTATCTGCCAAAGCCCAAATACCCTGTGCAAACCCCACCAAGACAAACAAAAAGGCTGGTTTCCAGAAGGCAGAGCACTTGCAAAACCCAAAGAAACACTGGCTCCCATTGTTCCACCAGCCTTTGCTATGTCAAACATCTAACGTGTAGGCGGCATCCTCTGGCTAAAGCATTATGGACACAGGAGCACTGGTGATATTCCTTCCTACCAAGAAGTGGCACAAATGCCAATGGTTTTGATCAAAGGGCAGCTGAATGACATAATTTGCCCTTCTTTTTCCCCCTGAATCTGGAGTGAAAGAGAACAAAAGCATCTTTCCCACTGATATTGCCAACTGCAGCAACATCTCAAGACAGAAAATCAATAGCACTAGAGCTGAAATCCTGAGACAACCACTATGCAAACGTTTTCAGCAGCATCTGATATTCCACTGCTGGATATTACCATCTCCTTTTGGCTGGAGATGAAGAATTATATGCAAAAGATGTGGAAATCAGAGACCAAGGTCTGAGCTTTGTTCTGACTCCCTGCATAGCCATGAGCAAGCTGCAACACCTCATTTTCCTCTTCCAGAAACCAGAGAGTGACAAGCTCTGCAATCCTCTCAGAGTTCCCTCCTCTCTGGAAGCAATTCCATGGCCATGCAGCTCTGGGACCATGTCGGGTTTTTTTTGGAAATTGGGCAATTTTCTTTGAAGCCTCTGCTCTGCACAGGCTTCCTGTGTAAATTCAGGGCTAATGGGGCATTAGCATTTCTGTGACCTGGACTCCTGAGAAGAAGATGGGGATAAAACCTTTTATCTATTGCACAGTAATGACAGAGAAGGAAATGCCTCAAACATTGGAGAGAAGAGGCAAAAGACCAGACTGACAGATCCTCAGTGTAGCTGACTGGCTGCACTTCACAAATGCCATTCTGATCTTTAATTTATGCAGTGAGTAACTGAACAACAAATTCATTGACAGACTCTGCCCTACAACAACCTCACATGCAAATCTTGCCCATCAGCCATGTCTAAACCTTTTTTTCCAAATAGGAAAAGGAGGAGAGTTCCCCTCTGAAGAAATGCAGAAGTAGAAATGACAAGAGGACTAAACAAATTTTTTTGCCTGATAAAACAGTGGCAAGTGGATTAGAGGCTGCAGCCAAGCCCATCTCAGAGTGCAGGATCAGGTCTTGGGTACAGCACCCAGTGAAAACGTGCTGCTGCAGGAAATGGCAGCAGGTTACTGAGGGGTATCAGCTGCTCTGTCCTGCCTCTGCTTCAGAATGAGCTGGGCGCCTTCCTATCAGTACCTCTGCCACTGCCTTCTCTAAACACACTGTTCTCTTCCCCACTCCCTGCTGAAGTGCTGTGTGCTCCTGGCAGCCCTGTGCAAGCCACTGCCAAGTTCTACTCAGGAACTCTTCTGTCTGTATATAAAAGTACTCTCTGGTCCTTCCAGGTTGCACAGGGCCTGTAAGTGTCACATACTATCACATCACAAACTTCATGAAACCAAGCCATAAAAGCACAGATTGCAGCAAGACTCAAATCACCAGCCTCTCCCTGGCAGCAACAAACCCTACAGGTCACTTAGAGAAGGGTCATTTTTAAAAGAAAACACAGCTAAATTTTAATCAAATCATTTTTTGTTTTGTCTTTTTACCCAGAAAGCTGTGAGCAGGTTTGTCCTCAACCACTCTGATCCGCCGGGCACCCGCAGGGATCACAGCGGCCTCGATGTAACCTGCAGCAACAAAAAAGGGGTGAATGAAAGCAGGGCAGGGCCAGCCAGGATCAGCCATCCCGTATCCCCCTGAGAAAAACTCAACTCCGGGCTGGGGATTGAGTGAGAAACACTCCAAATGAGATCCCTGTGCTGGCAGCCAGTTCTCACTGCTGTGACAGGTGTGGTCATGACTAACATTTCAGCAGAAATGCATGTGTGCTGCTCAGCTGTGAATTCAGGCTTGTTAATTAGCTCTAATTAGATCTGCACCCTTCGCATCACTCTGGTTTTCCTGCAGTACTGGCAGGGATGCATGAGGACACCGAGAAGTGTGACTGTCAGGAGCAACACTGCACAGAACAGACATGTGAAATGATGCTTCCAAAAGATGCTCCTGCTTTGTCTTCCCTGTCGAGGCTGTGGCATCAGAAAGGACTCACTTCCACAAAACCTTTTAATGATGCTAAAACTGAACAGAGGGAACTAGTGGGAAAAATTTGGGGGAAAGCTTGTTTCCATTTACATTTCAGCTCTGTACAAAAATTCTGGAGGAGATAATGATCTCCTTGCACTGGGCTGCTGAGAATTCCACAGCTCAGAATTAATGCAATAACAGAGCTAGAAGTTTCTCCAGGACTGACCACTGGCCACCTCTAAACAACTTTTTGAAGACCAATTTTGACTCACAGAATACAGCAGGAATAAGCAGGAGCTACAAGGAAATGTAGCCTCTTTTCCCCCGCTATGGAGACATGTGGAGTTACAGACTTGCTCCATGGGGTGGAAGTGGTGCCTTTAAATAATAAGGCAGAGGAACACCAGGGACCATTTCAAAGAGCCAGGCAGAGTTTTTCCACTGGCTTCAATGGACTTTGAATCAGGCCTCTGTAGATGACACTAATCTCATCACAACCATGACTTGATTCCTGTTAATTGGCCACCCAGTTTACTTTGCAGTTATCACTTGGCACCTTTTTGGGGTTATTGCTGTCCTCTTTCTTTTAGATGTTAAGCAGCTTATCCTGTATGTTCCCTCATCCACTTTTCTTGCTTTAAAGGGCTCTGTGAAGCTGTTCTGTGTCACTGATGCCTTTATGGGAATTGTGGACTGTCTGGAGCAATGGGTTGGAGAAGTGCTGGCACAGGGAGCAGTGATTCCTTTAGCACTTAGCAGTGTTTAGGGAGCTATTTTAGGGATAAAAGTGCTTTTGCGGTGGTGATACAGGGAGGACTCCAAGGAGTATGGTGACAGTCTCTTGCACCTCAGGTCTAAGTGATTCTCCTTCCACTGTAACATGGAGTGAGACAGATTTGGGGTCTCACATGGTGGATTCATTTCCTGAATATTCATTTCATGAGTAAGGCTTGAGCTCTTGGGTTTCATCAGGTGCAGAAGGTGGGCAGCTGACTTGGGCCAGACAGGCTCCCTCTTTCCCTGATTTGTTGTATCTGAATGACACTTTCATCTGACCCTTCAGCTCAGCTCTCTTTGCACTTGTTCCTCCTCACTTACTTCTCCCTTACCCAGGATATCTCAGAAATGGTCACTCATCCCTTGCAGGAAAACCAGAGACAGGGGCAGCAGAGCTCAATCCTTGTCTGTGCACAGAAGCCAGAGCAGAGGCTCTCCCAGCTGCTGTTCCACCCTGGGTTTCACCAGGAAAAATCATTACTTCCAGGGTCAATTTTACAAAGGCAATACGGAAATCTGTTACGAAATCAGAGCAAACAGATGTTGGGCTTTATCCTAGACATTGCCAGGAGTTGGTTTTTCATCAGCTGAGATACCAAATCACAGTCAATACAGATGGTTCAGATATCAAACATCCTCACTGCACCCCATGAGCTGCACACAAACCCAACAACAGCTACTCTAGACATGAACACACAGCAGAAGTGTGACCAGTGACAGTCTGTCACAGGGAAATAGCTCCTGATACACCCTGAACACCCCCGTTAGGAAGCCAGTTTGGAACATGCCCAAGTTTCAGGTAATTTAATTTACCTACTAGGGGACTATTTACTGATTTACTTTTTAAAGCAGATACAAATGCTCAGAGCTAAATCATGCATGGGTTGGAGACAAAGTTACTCTGAATTTAGTGGAAGGCAGTCACAAAGTTCAGTGAACTCTGGATCTGTTCCCTGACCCAGCAGCAGCCAGGAGTGTGTCACACTGCTTTAGAGGTGAGCAAACTCTGGAGCTGTGCTGGAGGCTCAGCTCAAGCCATTAAATACACTCATTTCATCACTGTGCCACGAGAGAAACACCACGTGGAAAAGTGATTTTTATGTTACTTTTTACAATAGTAAATAGTGAAGTGTGAGCTATTAATAGAGTATTAATTCTGGAGACTGTTTGGTTTGGTCTCACACCAGATTTTTTCTCCTTGTCTAAATTCTAATCCTGATTGATGGCTTTGGGGGGGTTGCACTCACAGCTCCTGAATAAGAAGAAACACACTGTGTTATCTTACTGTGCCACAAACCTGACTGCTGACCTCACTCTCCTGTTAGAGATGCCAAACGCTTTGCAGGGGTTTGGATCTGACCTGTCCTCTCAGAGGTGAAGCAGAACCCTTGGGCATGTCCCACCAGGAGCACCTGGACACCCTCATTCATTATCTCCAGCAATGTTGGGTGAGTTAGTGGTCGAATTCTGCTGCAAACAGACTGGATATCACCCATGCAAATTTGCCACAGGTACAAACTTGGATCACCTCCACCACTCCACTCTGGTCCTCAGAGCTGGTGGGAGGCTTGTGGTCACAGATTCCCGATCTTTGAGATAACTGCACCAGGAAACACCTCCAGTGTGTTCCAGGCACATTTTATTAAGCAAACTGTAACTGCAGATTGCCAGAAAGATTATCAAGTGTCAGCTAGAATGACCACAAAAAGTCTCAGAGTTGGCCCCCAGTCAAGGACTCTCAAAGCTCTGTTAGGTCTAAGGATAATTGTCTGCAAGGCCAGGGTTTGCAAGGTTGAGCTTAAAGTTCATCTTTAAATGAGGAACTGGTTAAAGACTGATGAGATTTGGCTACTATCAGGCAGTATTTTTAGTAATTTCACCCATAAATCAGACTGTTAAGATGAAGCTTTGAAAATACAACAGGAGAACTTCATTATTTGATAATTTATGGTGCTGTACGCAGTATACTCCACCTTGGGAACAGTTACTTTGGCACACACCAATCTTTCTGGATAATCTGCATTACATCAGTGTCTCAGGAATGTAAGACTGTGATTGAAGCAAATCCTAGATACAAATTTTATGGTATAACTCGTATTAGGAGAGACACCAGAACAAAGAGGTGGCTTTGTCATCAAGGAGATTAATATGTGAAGAGTGGCTACTGTATCTTCATTTAAATGCTGGAGAGATTTGCAAGAGGAAAGCAGCCCACACAGAAAAATCCATTGTTAGCCATTGTTATTACTCCCAGAAAGAACAGAAAGTTTAGTGTGAACTTTAGAATGCCACTGATCTACTGCAAAACTCTTCTGGTTCACACTGCAGTGAAAGATGGACTCAGAGGTGAAGGAAAAATGATCCCATGGCTGAAAGTACCAATCCCCGGGCACTGCACCTTCCTGTCTTATCCCTGTACACACCAAAATCAGGTGTGAGAAGGTCAACAGTGCCCAGCCCATTACCAAACCTCCCAAAAGTGCTTTGAACAAACATCTCAAGGTAGAAGCCAAGGAGATCAGGCTGTCCTGCTTACCTGCCAGCCAAGGCCAGCACAGCTTCCATGCTATTTCAGGGATAGGCACCAGCTGAGCATCCCAGACTCCATCTCCTTCCCACCTTGCAGCTTTTGCTGATTGATACTTGTGCAGTGGAGTGCAAATTATGTGTCTGTTTTCTGAATAGCTGTGATGATTCTCCTCTGCTTTTAGCTTGAGAATAAATCCTGCATTGGCACCTGTCCACTTCCAGCCATGGGATAGCTCATTTGTAAGAAAATCATTTCTCTGAAGAGCCATGGATAAATTTCAAAGCCTCCTACTATTTCTGCAAAGTTGATAACTGGGATTTCTAACTTGCATGTTCTGATGAAACCCCTATAAGGGATCTCTGAGTTAAAGATTAGGTAAAGTTCTATTTTCTTGTAATTTACATGTGGACCCTATTGACAAAAAAAGATATTTTTGTGCTGGCTAAAGATGCTCCCAGCCAGCACAACAGCACTACTGTTTAAATTTTGTTTGGTAAGTGCTTGACAAACAGCATATGCAATAAAACCCCTACTTTTCCACCACCTTAAAAAGAAAAAATCCTAGCCAAAATGTAGTTTTCCCTTCCCAAAATGATAGTTACAACAACTGGCTTATCTCACATTAGATTCTGCCACTAAAAAAAAAAATCCAAACATTCTTCTGAATTATAACCATAAATTTTTTTGAACTCCTAGCCAATATGTAGTTTTCCCTTCCCAAAATGACAGTTACAACAACTGGCATATCTCACATTAGATTCTGCCACTTAAAAAAAAATCCAAACATTCTTCTGAATTATAACCATAAATTTTTTTGAATCACAATCATAAATGAAAATCTTGATGTGGCTGAGAAAAATCAGGAGAAACCAACCCAGGTCTCTGAGCATTACAGGCACGACCTTGGAGAAGCTGTCAGTGATAAATCAGCTCCCCAACAGACAGGAGTCCAAGGGCTGTCCTTCATTTCTAGGTCCCCTGTACAGTGGCAGAGTGACAGAGGTGGACTTCAGAACAACTCTGTTTGGTTTTGAAAAATTATTTCATAGAAATAGGTACAGGGCATGCTGCCAGTCAAAAGGAAACCTCAGTCTAAACAATGCATTCAGCTGGCCTGCTGAAGACAGCCAGCTGCACACAAGTGTATGTGATGTTTAGCATCATAAATTAAGGCTTTTGACCTCCTCTCCCGCAGAAAAATGGGGTCCATTTCCAGTTGGATCACCTTGGATCACAGGTGGTAAGAGCTGAACTGCTGGATCTCCTCTGAGGCACTCTGAATGTTCCACCATCTTTCCCACCAGGGTGACAGAACCTCTGTGATCTTAAAGTTGGGGAAAAAAAGAAATAGGCCTGGTTCTTTTTGCTTGGTGCATGAAAATTTGGCTTCCTTTCAAGGATAGGTTCCCTAAAAGGAAAGGCTCTGCGCTGTATCTCTGACAAGGCAAGTGAAACAGTAAAAGGACTTGAAGTTTATCCATGGCTTTTGACACCAAATTTCCCCATCTAATCCGACAAAACGAAGATAAAGAACCAACACCAAAGGATTTCACCGACACCCACTGACACTGCAAACAGCATTCAAGTATCTTACACGAGAAACACTTGGGAACAGCCTTTGCCTTTGCCATCACACATGTGGAAACCTTCTTACAATGACTATTGGTTACTAAGAAACAGAAAGGAGTTGGCAGTGGTTTAGTTCAGTTCACAGGGCTCCACAACATCATTTGCAATCACAGGACACAGAGGGACCAATCCTGCAACCAGAGGAGTCCCACGGGCAGAGCCAAGGCTCAGGGCTGCAGCTGCAATTCCCCAAGCAAATACCACTCCAAAACAATCAGTGTCTTGATGTTTGAAGTCTATTCTCTTTTGAAATAATAAAGGCAGAGCCAAGGCTCAAGGCTGCAGCTGCAATTCCCCAAAAGATACCACTCCAAAACAATCAGTGTCTTGATGTTTGAAGTCTATTCTCTTTTGAAATAATAAATCAGCACACTGGACTTGGGGTCTTGGCCTTGACTTGGAATGCAGCCAGGTCGTGGGGATTTGCCACTGAACTGTGCAATCATTACATACCCAAACCTTGAACTTGTTATCACCAGAATATTGTGGATCTTTCTTTGCCCCAGCTTCCATCAAATTTTTGCACATTTTTGCTAACTGTCAATTTAAAATAAAAAGCCTTTTTTCCCCTTGAGTAACACCATGTTCACTTGTGATACCCCACACCTGGAGCTTTGCTTACTGCATGAAATTCAGTGGGTTCACCTGAGGACCTGACTCTGCAAAACAGCAGCATGTAAAACAGAAATGGATGGAAGCAGACATAACATGTAATTAACTTTCCAAATTAAATTAAAAATAAAACATCTAATAAATGGTTATGAGGTTATACTGGTAAAAACATCTTCTAGATTAAGTGAGATGGCTAGAGATGGAAACCTTGCATTGACAAAGCAACACTTTGACAGGTTTGTGTGTCTGAGATGATCAGCAGAGAATCTGAATGCTTGAACACTGCCCACGAGTCATCAGGAATTCTTTCTGATTAGGTTCCAGGGCACTGGGGGTGAAAACCTCCTGCAGAATCCTGGCAGCCAGTTAAGGCTGAAGCTGCTCTGCTCCTACAGCCTTGTAAAGTCACCACCTCAAGCAGTCTGTGTAGCTGGAAATGGGTGCAACCTCCTGGCAGTGACCCAGAAATTTTGTATTTATCTGCACAAGATGTTTTGTAGACTCATTGGAAAACCATAGCTACTCTTCAGCAGCATGTAAGAAATCCATGAAAGCTGTATAAGCTGCTACAGAAATGGAGAATAGCTGGGGTGTTTTCAATGGAAATAAGGAACTTTTCCCACCACTTGCCTCAAATGCAAAAGACTTGATGTAAGTGGGTGGGAAATAATTGGGACAAATGAATCAAAGGCACTAATGCAGGAAACCTCTCAACAAGTTGGCCAAGCACACAGATGTGCTCCAGAGAGATGTCATGCAGGTGGAAAATCCTACCTGCATCTCAGAGGAGGTGACAGATCCCAGCTGGCCCCACAGGTGAGGAGGAGGGTGCAGAGGAAGAGGTCAGTGAACAAAATCAGAGCCTCAGACTTCAGAGCTGAGACCTGGACTAAAGGGAGCTGCTAAGCACTGGTGCTGCTTTAGCCACTCAACTGAACTGAAGTGTGTGCTTAAAGGGGATTTTCATGTGCTCTGTGGAACTCAGCCCTGGAGCAGCACGTTGAATGTATTTCTCCATACAGAAATGCCAGTTCTGTATTCACTGAATGGGAAATAATTTTTTTCTGGACAGTTGTTTCCTCCTGGAGCAGCTTCCACATTCTGGACATGGCTTTCCCTCCCTTTGGCTAATTAGGATGTGTGATAACAGGGTTCTCAGAAGTGTAGTACAGAAACCCTGGAACAAAGACTAATTCAAACACCAAGCTGTACATACAATAATGTTTAACAAGAAAGGGAAAAGTCTTAATTCCAAACTCCTATATCCTATACTGGATATTTTTGCTGGCAAAGAATCAGTAAAAATATTCAGAGGGGAGTGCACTGTTCTTTCCTTTAGCTGAGATATTCTGATTATAACATGAATCATCTACAACATGGAACATGCATCATTCTGAGACCTCAAAGATGGTGCTGAAATCCAACTTCCCTCCCGCTGGGAATGATCCTGTGATTTTCTCTGCTATTTAAAATCATCAGCACCAGTAGCTCTCAGAATGAGAAACACAACTTCAGTCTGAATTTCAGGCAGAGGCAGTGGCTGGTATCTGGGCGACTGAGTAAGAGGCAGATGGGATATCACACCTGAAGTGAGTTGAGGTTTGTTTTGTGTTCCTTAGGAGCTTCCTAGAGCTGTTTTTGCCAGGTGACCCCAGTGCTACCCAAGAAGAAGAGCTGTTACTGCTATCCCAACTCTCCTCCAGCAGGCAGGAGAAGCCCAGAGTGTCACTCACCCATGCCCTTGGTGTGGTTGAAGTCTCCTTTCACCACTTTGCAGGTTTTCCCATCTCCACTGCAGATCCCACAGCGATCCTCTTTGGCAGCTGAGCCAATGATCCCATCACAGCCAATTTTCTAATGACAACAACCAGAGACCCCCATTACTTTGTTTGCAAGGTCAGAGCATCTCTAAACAATGAGGTCAAGACTAAGATTGACATCTGACTGAAAACCTGAATGGGGAGAAAACATTGAACTCTTAATTACATTTTTGAAATACCTGAAAAAAGATCTCATTAATCAGATGGCTCGAGATACCTGAAATGAAAGAGTAGTTCAGTGGAAGCAGGTCAGTTCCATATCTGGCCAATTTCCACCACAAGACTGCCTATGCAATTATGACATCTTCCACATGCTTGCACTATATTAAGAATCAACATTCAATTGAAAAATAAATGATAAAATCAAACAGTTTCACCTAAAGATTCATTACAAATGGGGTTTTCCTAATTTTATATATATATACACCTATTTTTTCCCAATATAAACCTACAGTTCTGCTTCCACACAAGGGAAGAGTCCCAATATTCTCCCTGTAGCTATTGTGATTATCACCATAATCTTCCTTATTCACAAAGCATTCACAGGTTATGATGGTGAACATTCCACTCTTCTAGATCTGTCATTAATCTATATAAATTGTATTCTGTCCATGTAAGACCCTCAAATTGATCAGCAATCCACTCTTAAAACATAAATTTCTACTGAAATAAGCCTTGTCATTATGCAAGTTATTAGCAGAGATTGCACTATTAAAAATGAGTTTAAGATTTATTCTGCATAGATAAACAGTTTCTTGGCAAATGAGTAGGAGGACTGTCACTAGTAAGACTTATTTGAGTAAGGCCATTGGGTCTCTCCCTTCTTTGCCTTCCTATGATGAAGCCAGAGGAAAGTTGGAGAGATATCTTAGGGAACAATCAAAACAACAAACATTTTGAAAAATAGGGTAGGCAGGGAAATATTAAGAGAACTCGGGCTGTTTATCTGAGCCTGTCTGCATGTAAGCAATGCAATTTGGATCAGAATTCCAACATTCCCCTTGTTTCAGAAGACCCTGGCCACTGCCTGAGTCCAGATGTATTTCAGGGATCAAAGACTGCCAGCATTCCACCATGTGCTGATGCAAAGCTTGTCTGCGTAAATCATTAGGGACAGACATGCTGAGAGAGGGTGATCATCCTAAACACAGACCAGGGAAATGCTGCTCATTAACTGGCACAGCACCTACACTGGTGCACAGGAACAGCAGGAAAAAACCTGTATAAATGCATAAATGGGAGTTAAAAGAGGGAGGAAGAAGATCGTGGAGTTTCTGGCAGTTGCAATTCTCAAGCCTAAACTTCACGCCCATGTCCAACAAATAATTTTGGGATATTGAACGTGATTCTGCCCCCAGAACAGAAGGATGTCCCAGCAGTTCTCCTTCCAGGAAAATCAGGATGAATTATTAATGGGGTTGCTGAAAGGCAGCTGGAAATAAACGCCTGCCTGCCACCCTGCTGAGATACTGGAAAGGCTGTGTTTAATTTAAGGCTCTGGTGCTATCTTTTATTGTGCTGCATTGTTATTAGCACTATGTGAGCACACACATGAATAAAGGGAACATAATGAGTGTTGAACCACACTTATTCCCAGAGCTACACGAGGAGTCTGTAGGACTCTAACGGAGGCAGGGAAAGAATGGGGAGTTGGCAATCACAGCCTTTGTGTTTACGCTGGAGTTCCCCAGATAATGGAAACCAGTGTGAGCCAGCAAAGCTTGAGAAGGCTCAGTCCCCCCTCATCTGACACTGGGGTTCAAGACAAGCCATCTCCTCACACCTTTACTTGCTCACTGACACCCTTTCGCTGGAGAGGCCCTTGAGAGGCATGGAAAAAATCCACAAATGTGACTCCCAATATTTTTGCTGGTTTTTGCCTTTCATCTTCACCCTATTCCCTTGTGAGGAAGGAACTGGGAATGGCCCTTGCACCCTCCTCTTCAATGGCATTGCTCCCATTCACAGGGCAAACTTTTCCCTCAATCCAGGCCTTGAGACTTAAAGCCCCCATCACATCTGGGTCAGGAAATGGCTTCTTACAAAGGAATATCTCTAAGAGAATAAAACACTTTTTTTTTTTTCTTGGCTACAAGATGAAAATTGGTGCATTCTTGCTACTTTATGGGGGAAAAATACCTTGGAAGCACTTTGTGTTGTCTACATAAACATTAGAGCCCGTTTCCCCCTCCCCAAGCCTTCCAATCATTTCCAAACTGGAAGTGCATTTAATAAGAGTACATTTAATAACAGTACGTAATGAAACAGCTTTGGGTAAGATTTGACAGTGGATTCCAAAAGCTGCCAAGTCATTTAGAAACACATTGCAGTGACCACCTTGGTCACTCTGATACTTTGAGAACTCCCCACATGGAAAATAATCTCAAAACCACCACCATGGCCACTCTTAAAACAAGTGGATCAGTGAATCAAAGGGGAAGAGACAGGACTGGAAGGGCAGAACACAGTGGCTGTCACCTTTGTGGGTGCAAAGCATCTGCCAGCAGTCCTTGGGCTGTTAACTGAGAGATTTCTCCAAGGTTTGAGAGCCCCTGAGACTCCAGCACTGGCTGGAAAAACCGTCCAGTGTGCACATCAGCACCTTCCCACTGACTATGCTCTCTGTACTATACTGCCCCTCCTTTAACTACAGAGCTGTACTCACCCTGCAGAAAGCTTCCCAAAATGTGAAGGCTTAATTAACCATATGCAAAGGGAAAATCCCAAGTTTTGCTGCTCAGAAGTCAAGTTTTCACAGTGCAGAAAGAATCCCTTAAAACCTAAATAGTTCAAGGGAGTTGTTTGATCTTTGCCATCTCTCACTTGCTTTGTGTTGCTTCCTGTCCACTCCAACCAATCAAGGTAAGGGAATTCATTAAATTAAGAAGCAGAAAAGCAAAGCTTTACATTCTGAAGAAAGGAAGACCCTGTAAAAAACAACATCCCATGTGTTTTCTGACCCAAAAGTTTTCCTGCAGATGAGCAGACTGAGCCCACGGGCCAGCCCATCCAGCAATTGCTGGGTACTTTCAGTTCCATCAGTCTTGAATGGACTGGTGAGAAGGGAAGCAGCTTTAAAGCATGGGAATGCTGCCAAGAAACATGAAAATAAGTATTTTGGGACTTCAAGTCCTCAGCATGGACAGTCAGAAATGTGTCCACAGGTTTCTTAAGGCTCTTCCACCCAGGCAGTCTCCTGCTCTGACACGACATTTTGGAACCAGCCACTGATCATTAAATTGGCAGGTAACTGCACATTTGCTGAGCCAAAGGCCTGAAATTAATTCTCTTTAAGCTGATATCTCCATCCACCCTTCCTTCCCTCCCTCCCTCCCTCCCTCTCCTGCTCATTTTTATAATTAAACATCTGAAAGTACTGCTTGTTGGGTGGTATTTCCAGCTTCAGTCATAGCTGGCTCCAACATAGGAAAACTCTTCTCTTTTGAATACGTATCACTTGGATTCTTCTGTGTGAACTATTCTCTGTATTGCTTGGGTATTTTTTAATGGTATTTTTATTTGTATTTTCAATGGCTGTGAAAGAGCTCAATTGATACAGCTTGTGAGGGTATGTTTTGCTACATAAACACAATTATTTTTGTTATATACACCCACTCTGTGCAAGAAATGACATTGTAGGCTCACAAAACTGTAATGCTTCCCATATGCTGAACTAACTGGCTGTCTCAATGGATCAAATATAAATATTGATGCAACATGTGCCACTTTACAAATTAATCATGTACAGAGCAGGCTGGTTATGACAGACTCATCTACACTGCCAATTCCTTCTGTCCATAATATCCAATGCCATTGATACCTCCAGGGATGGACCACATGAAACAGGAATGTACAGATGTGAGCAAGTGACAATCAGATCTGAGGGGAAAAGAATTCTTATTTCATTGTTTTAAACACATCTGCCCCTGTCATGTTGTGGGGGCTGTCAGGGTTGGGTGAGGTGAGTCTGGGTCCCTAATCAAGCAGTTCATCTCTGAATTACTTCAATTTCTGTTCCACAACAAATTTTGTGCTAAGGGTGGAGTCCCTGTAGGAGTTAGTTCAGCAAATATCCTCCTGTCATTTCCCAAGCCTTCAGATTTTGTCTGAATCAGAGCAGCTCTGCTGGATCAGGAGTTAGACACATCCTATTTTAAATCAGCATTAGTCATCTGCCATTGACTTTGTGCTTAGATCCCTCAGTAGCTCACAGGGGTGTTAGACACAATAATTCATTATTTTTCACTTATACAAATTGAAGGCTATGTGTCAAAACCGCTGTGTTCATGAGAGAACATGCAAATAATACAAAGCTCTTTCCCATCCCAGGAACTCCTTTGCTTCTGTTCTATTATATGCTTTCCATGGCATAACATGGAAGAAAAATTGGGGGAAATAGCACGGGTTTGGTTTTTTTTGTTTTCATCCACCACTGCAAAGTACACCACAAACTAGTAGGATATTGATAAAGACTTGGTTTTGTCACTGTGCTTTACTCACCAAAATCCATTATACTCTTTTTAACCTCAGATTACATTGCTACAGATCCAGACATAGAAAAAAACCAAAAAGGCAATTATACAACAGGTTTCTGTAGCTCAGACAATCCTTCTGGATTTTGTGCACATGCACTAAATAATTTATCAAAGTTCAGTGCTAAGCCAAGTTGTTGTATGGAGACAAGCTACCCAGTCTGGAACATCTTGTACCACAGTTTGTAATGCAGGAATATGAATAATACATGGAAAATACTCAAGTCAGGAGACAAAGCCAGAACTCCAGGCATCAATCAAATGCAAAAAGTGGGTACTAAGTATTTAAAAACTGTTTGCCAGAAGCAGGTCCAGTAGACAACTTCAATTTCTCCTCTGCCATCTGTGGCACTCACCTGACACTCTGCCTGTCCAGTCTGCAGAAGCTATTTTTGAAAATCTGTCCATTTTCCAATTTGTGCTCCCCTTTCATAGAGTGTGACAATCACTTTCAGAAGAAAGTAGTTCTGTAACAATTTTGTTGTGCCAGGACAGCCTAATATGTGGCTTATTACCATTAAATACACCGTGGATTCACCAGCCAGTTGAAAGGAGGTGTGATATGACAAAACATTCATGAGAAAATTGCAGATAGAGCCAAAACATCTTCACCTCTTAAATTGTTAAATCACAGCAAAGACTGCCCTTGATCTCTAGCCCAGATCTTGCTGTACAGGAGGTCTCTCTTTTCACAGAGACCTTAAATTACATCCTGAAGCACAATCTGTAGTCCCCACAGGAAAGTTCTCATGCTGTCATGAGGCTCAGCCTAATCCTCCTTTGAGAAAAGCCAGCACAAGGTCATGTGCATCATAACAGTCAGCTGAGCAGCTTGTCTTCTCCTCACCCCTCTGCTCTGTGACATCTGACACTTTTTTTAGCTCCACTTCTGCCAGCAGTTTTGAATTAACCTCAGCAGCACAGAGCAAAACACTGTAAGGGGTTAGAAAGTGTCCTGTTCTCATGAGTGTTCTCTCATCAAACACACACCCTACAGGTCCAGGGAAGAACAAAACCCTCAGGAATCCTCTCCCTGAAAGCCATTTGTCACTTGAAGGGAAATGGGAGGAGATTAACTCAGTGCAGGTTGCACAGCCCTACCCCACCTTCCCCATGGCTGCAGTGGCCATGACAGGGAAGGCAAATTGCTCAAAAGCCTAAATGAGCACTCACCCTCCTCCTCCTCCTCCAACACATCAGGCTGCTCTTGTTCTCCAGCCTGCAACAGATTTTCTGTCTCTGAAAAATCTCTGGAGAAAATAAATTTTCCTTGCTAGAAGACCATGTGCATTTGGAGGAGGAAAGGTCAAAGACCTACATATGCTTTGAACAGGGGCATCCAGTTTGCTCAGAGGAAGGTAAAAAAAATGGTGCATTTGAAATGTTCAGCCTCAAAAACAACTCAAACTAGGAAAAAATTGAATTAAGACCTTATGATTAATCTCAAAAACAAGGAATAAGGCTAGAATAAGTCTAGGTGATTTAGGAACCCCCATGTTAAATTTAGGGCTGACTTTGCTCTTTGGTGCTTCTATGCTTGATCAAAGTAATAACCAAGTTTACTCACTCCAGCTGCCTTCAAGTGTAAGGGATAAATACAGAGATGCTGCTGCTTTTGATGATTTTGTTTCAGCTGACAGCAAAGGCTTCATTGACACCTTTTAGATTGGAGTTCAGCTTTAAAGAGAAACTGTAGTAACTTCAAAAAGTACAACTGAAGGAAAATTCCCTTGGTGCCCATATGTATTTGGGGCATTTTGAGGCTTCAGAGAATCTGTTCCTGCTTTCCTTCTCAAAACCCTCCTCTCCTCGCAACAGTTTTTTCTCTGCCATGTTCATCTACATTCATTCATCATCCAAGAATGATTCACAAGCTGCATTTAGGAGCATCTAGTGAAGGAAGAAGATCTATTACATTTCCTGGGCTAGCTGTTCACAGGCAATGGTTACTGCTAATTTGTCTGTTGCACTGACAATGTGTCATTCCTGCCTTTGAGAGCCTCTAACTAGAAGGATTACATAAGAAAATAAATAACAGTAATACCACCCTCTGATTTCAGCACTTATTCTCTTCTCCAGGCCCCCTGCAATGCTTATTGCAGGCTTTGTCTATGCCGGGTAAAGAAACAAGGAGAGGAGTAATTAAATGAATATGGCAATTAAATTGGTTTAATAGGCAGCTAGTTAGACAAGTATCTGTGGCAAATGGGGTACACAGGCACATATGGCAATTCTCAGCACTGCACTACATCTATGGCAGAGGAGTATTATAAATGAGTTCACAGGGCTTTCAAATCTGCTCGGCTTGAAGTGATCATTTCACATTTTTTCTCAGCCAGATGCAAATGGACTGAATGTTCTGCAGCTGTCATCACCTCTCTGCACAGTTAAAGGCAGTTGCCCCCGACTCAGAGTGCAATTTGCTTTTCGTGATGTACCTCCAGTGCTCTGCGCTCATAAAGGAATTCATTTGGAGGGAGCTGGCTACTGATCCTCCTGGATGAAAAAAAGGTGCCTTGCCATGATGTCTGATTTACCATTTGTGGCAGTTCTGAAGGTTTGGAGCAATAAAACTGGCCAGCCCAGAGTAATGGTCAATGGCACACAGCTGGAGGTGCACAGCTGGCCTGACTATAAAAGGTTATTAATGGGTTTTTGTTTTAGCTTTTTTCAGATATAGCCAAAAACTGGGGAAAATTAAGTAACTTGGGATTCACCATGAACCTGGCTCTATGTGCAAAGTACTTTGTATTATAAAGAATCAAACTTGTACTGGCTCCCAGACTGTTGCTATTCATATTCTTCATTGGAATAAATTAGAAAGAATGAATTAAAAATGCCTCTTCAGCATCATTTGTCAAGAAACAGTGGGAAGTGTCTCCTCCAGCAGTGCAAAATTCAATCCAAAGATTTTTCACTTCTCTCTTTGCATTGTTATTAATAAAGCTGCTTTATGCCCCCAAAGCCTCTCTCACACCCAGGTGGGTATTGTGTTCATTTATCTCCCTGCCTGGAAGGCTCAAAGCAATAAAACTTGGCATTTCTTAACCACTCACAGAAATCAGAAATAATGCCAAATTTGGTGTGCCTTGTGCCCCCAGGGAAAACCAGGGAAGTTAGTGGATATAAAAAGTGATGCTATAAAGCTGTTCTGGTGCATACAGCAGGCTGGTTAATACCAGGAAGAGCAACTCCTACCACAGGCTACACATCTAGATGAGGAGAAACTCAAAGGGAAGAACTGCCAGGAAGACTCCAGCTCTGGCAAGGCTGCTGTAGCCAAGTGAACTGTCTTTCCCACCACTGTGGTGTGTGCAGCACACTTTGAAGACGTGCTCCATGACCAGGAGAGAGGAAACTCATGAAGGGTCTGCCCTGTCAAACTGTCCGTGACAAATGACCTGAACCCATCATCAGGAGCATCCTCTCCAAACAACTTCCTGTCTTTTATGATCTTTAATTACACATTTTCTCATCTTCCTTCCCTCGTCCAAACATTAAATCTCCATCTTATATGAGTCTACAAACTCCATTAAATTTTTGAGGATCCTGAAGCACCAGCTCTAAGAGCTGCCCTCCTTAGCATTCAATGTGTTACAAACTCTCTCAGCAAACCATGAAGTTTTATTACAGATTGATTTATCTCCCACACATAATTTTGGGTGTGTGTGTAATTTGGTTAGAGAGAAATAATCACTGCAATAGTTATAGGCTATCTCTCTAAGGAAAAGAGAATTCAATCTGAAGAGTCTGGCTCATGTAGCTACAGGAGCTGAGGAGCCACTGGTACTGAAAAGCTTCCTCAGTATTTCTATGAAGGAACCAGGTGGACCAGAAAAGCATCATGATTCTGGTAAGATGATGCTTGTAACAGGCTAGTGACAATTTGTAAGCTGATTTGCAGCTTCAGTGCTTTTATCAGTGATTCCTCTAACAGCCAAAAAAGAGCAGTTAAGCAGGCCAGATTTCCCCTCCAATCTGCTCCCCTCACAGAAGTCCCTTCCCACCCAAGCCATGCACACAAGTAAATGTGATTTTTGAGCATTCCCAGCTGTTCAGGAATAATATCATACCTCGGGCATTCAGCACAATTCTCAGACCAGTAACAGAGCCATGGAGCACTTGTAGTGGGCCTTATAAAACAGGGCTGTCCCTCCCCTCAGGGACAGCCTCCCAGCCCCAACACGGTGCTGCCCCAGACTGAACCTACCACTAGAAATAGAACAAGAGAAGGTTACTCCACCTGGCACTTGCCATGTACACAGAGGTCTGTCTCATAAGGCCCACAGGGAGTTCCATCCAGGACTCTGTCTGTCACCAGCACGGGAGAATCCTTGCCCAGTGGGGAGCAGAAGAGCTCACATGGCTTATCTGAGAAAAGAAATATGACAAGCACCCTTGGGAACAGCACAAACAAGTGTCTGAGGCAATGGTGATGCATTCTGTACATGAATACATTTGGATATCTCATCTTTGAAGGAACATGAGGCTTTCAGTTTAGGCCTGTCATTTCCCCCCTTTAAGTATCACTATTTAAAGGGTTACACTGATGAGACTGGGCTTTAACAGCACAGAAAACCACTTAGTCAGTACACTTTTGTGTATCTGTTTGTAAAGGGAAGATGTTTGTTACAGGGAACATTCGTTCTGGTAAGTATGATCAAGTCACTGAGTCCCACAAAATTCAGGCTACAGCCAGTGATTTTAGAAGAACAAGTTCTCCAGACCATTTCATATCCCACCAACATCTGGTTGAATAGCAGATGAACAGCAAGACCCAGAAGATGAAGTGTTAAAGGAATGTAGGTGAGATAAACAATCATGCTGAAATGCCCTAAAGTGATATAATTAAAATATGTCATAGGGAATCCACCTTTTTTTTCAGCTCCAAACTAACTGGAACTTCTTCGTGTTTAAATTCCCAGCTCTCTGATTCCCAGTCTGAAGTTGGGAATTTCAGACTGGGAATCAAGTTAAGGCACTTCTCTCCCAGCATTTCAAAAAGATGAGTAAAGCATTGACAACTCTCTATGTTCTATTAAGAAGGCGAAAGGAACAGCAGGGCAGCACCAAGAACAATTAATTGTAATTAGTCTTTCAGCTGTAGCTAAAGGGGGTCTATTGCAGCTTTCTCACCAACAATGGAGCCCTGCAGATGAGAAACTGCAGCGAAAGAACAGTGAGGAATTACAGAGGGAGATGGGAAAACTCACCATCCACGATGACAGCTGTCAGGAGGCTTTTCTTCTTGTTGGTGTACCTGTCGTGGGCCTGGCACTGCTGGTCCCTGAAGCTGGGCACCCCTTTGGGGCAGGGCAGGTTCTCACACACCGTGTGCTCCACGCTGGCCCCCCGGCAGTTCTTCCCCCCTGGCCCCGGGCTGCAGTGGGGAACAAAACCAGGGTCAGCACCAAACACCTGGAATGTTCCATCTTCCCCCTCCCACCCTTGCTTTCTCTCCTGCCTCAAACACTCCTGAGGATGGAGACACGGCAAACATCCCATCAGCACGTGTCCTCCTTGCAATTAAAATGCCACAGAAGCAGCTATAACCTGCACTGTAGGCAGGGTACCCAGAAACAAACCTGTGCTGCAGATAACCTCCATCCATGAAATCCATGCCATTCCACACATTCATTTTTTAAACTTACAGGAAAGGCCACTAATGCCACATCAGAATTAAGCACCTGCGAAACTTATCTGTTTTTATTTATGAATCCCCAGAGAAGAAGGAAAACTCAAACTCTCAGCAATAGTCAGTATTTTCGTTGCAAAATAAAACAAAATACAAACAAAAAAACACAGGTAAGCTGGAATCTGGAATTCCAGCCCCAAGCCTTGCATTTATGAGCTTAAGCCTGGGATTTCCAATAAACAGTGCAATCCAAGCCCCTCCTGACACATGTCTGTAACAGTAACTGTATGATATACTCTGGTACCTTTCACTGTATTTATGCCAAGAGAATCCACCAACTAAAGGAACTGAAAAAAAATCAAAGTCCATTTATGGTGCTGTGACCCCTTTACATGATATGGGAGGACTGGAAAAGGGATGCTCTCTTTAAGCCAATGGTTTTCTCCTCAATCCCACTGTACAACAGCCCAAAGCCTAGACAGGAACACAAGGCAGTACAACTCAAAAGTCTGCACGTGCAAACTGGCTTATGACACATTCCTTACAACCATGGGGAGGCAATGCATGTAAATGTTCAAAGAAATTACAGAGAGGAAAAACCAAATCAAACAGTGAAGCAACTGCTTTAAAAATACTGATAGTCCCACAGGCTCAAGAGTCAGCTGGCAGGAGCAGAGATTTCTGTAAAAAAAAATCCCAAGACCAAACATACACAAAATAAAAGATAAATCCCTTAGCCAGTATTTCTGGACAGTGAATAAACCAGCTGCAGAAGTGGGCTGAGGCCAGGAATTTGAAGCAAAAGAAGATCACGTGTGTATCTCCAGCCAAGAATGTATATGAGCAAGAGAATTTTAAAATCAGTGTGCAGTGTTGGAAGGAGCATTTCCTGTAATTTAATGAACGATGATGAATGGATTTAGGTTTGGTCAGCACTGTAGCTGACAGCAAAGAAACCAGCTCAGTCCCTTTTTCAGGAAAATGAGCTGGTAAAAATTAAACCTGGGTATTATAGACATGCAACTGCAGCTCAGATAAGGAGAAGAATAAACAAAAATATCCTTTTCACATGATTAGAGGTCAACAGCAACATCATCTAGGCACGTCTTCAAAGTGACTGTGTTGCTATGCAGAATTTCAGCCCCAATTTAAAAAGAAAAGCTTTGGGTACTTTGTGCGTAGAAGAAAACATAAAATCTGAATAAAGTCAGAGCTACTGCGCTTGAAGAGCTGCTCCCAAGGCTGTGAAGTTATAATAAACACAATTGGGTGGCCAGGTAAATGACACCATTGTAACCTCTTCAGAACCCCAAAATGATAAAGAGACTTCCAGATGGGCCTCAACTAACCTGAGGGATGAAGGACAACACCTACATTTCATCCTGAATCAGAAAAAATCCAAGGCCATGCAGAGAGCATCGGCCACTGTGCAGGAGCTAAACAGCACCCATGGCTCTCTGCATGCATGAAAACCTTCCTGCTCTTATGCAGCACATCCTGACCTACAGAGCATCCCAAGGGGCTCTGCCAACACAGTCCTGGGACACTGATCATTGTCAGCCACTGCACTGCTCCCCAAGCCCAGAGCAAGCACTCCTGCAAAACTCATCTCTAAGACACATTGGCTCACTTTGGTCTGTAGATCCAGACCAGCCCCTCCTCATTCACTGTAGTGCTGGAGGGGAACACAGCATCAGTTTTTCTGCCAAACTACACGTATCTAACTCAACTGTATCCACCTCTGAATCACTGCAATGGAAAACTTCCAAAGGTGACCCTTCAAGCCACTTCCACAGAACCCATTTCAAGTCACTCCAGGATTCCAACCTGGTCATTGCAGCTTGTGAATGAGGAATTTCTCAGGGCTTCTGCCCAGCTCTGCTGCCCATTTCTCCCCTGTACTCTTACAGCAAGGGTTGCCCAAGAGGGAAAAGGCTGCCAGCATGGCAGAAGGAGCCAGGATGGTGTGAGGACTTACGGGGGGTTGTCACATTTCCGCTGCCTGAAGCGCACCCCTGTTCCGCACGTCCGGCTGCACATGCTCCACTGGCTCCACACGCTCCAGTCCCCGTCCACGTGCTCAGGGATGGGGGTTTTACTGACACACTCCCCAGCTCGGCACCACTGCAAGGCAAGCACGTTAGCACAGCCTGGGAAGAAGCCCTGACCTGGCACAGGTGGACTTTAAAGGATGGCTGAGGAATTGAAACAAGTCTACGTTTAATTTTTTAGGGATTCGAGGCTTTGGTGAGATGGCAGTAGGAGAAGGAGGAAGGGAGGAGGAGAAATGTAAAAATTTAAGTGTCACTCTCAACAAGCCCCTGAAGGGGGTTCTGTCATTAAAAAAACAATCACAGAACTGGGCTCCTTACTTCATAAAGCAGATAATTATCTAAGTACTAAGACTTAAAGCCCCACGATTCACAGAAACTGACTCCAAGAAATTATACCCCAAAGCAATGCCTTCATCAGCACTGCTCCCAGAATGTACAAAATGATTGAAGTATTTTGGACCTAACTTGGCTCAAGCCCCAAACCCCTCTGATTCTAATAGGTTGTGCTGGCTCCTGACCAAGCAGCAAACTTGGTCTGGCCAGGATGTGACACAGTGAGCACTGCTAAGAAACCTTATGAAAGAGTCACCAGAACTCCCCCAGATAGAAAAACATGGTCCTAAAAACATTTTTTCCAGTTTTCTTGTCATGGTTTCCAGGACCCACTTTTTCTTGTCATTGTTTATCTTTATTTGCAGGAAAAGAAAAGGTTCCAATTCTTGATTTCAGAAGCCAGCTTTTAAATTTTACCCTTTTTATCTCCCCAACTATACCATAGGAAAAAAAAAAAAAAAATTAGAGTCCAAAACCAGTAAGTAGGGGGCTGAGAGTTACCAAACCAGTCAAGTTCCAGAAAATACATATGTAAATAAATACAGTCAATTATACTTCAAAAGGAACAGAACATCACTGAATTTCACCTCAATTATTTTGAGCTACTTGTAGAAACTATAAAGTTTTTAAGTAGCCTCTGTTTCATTCCCCATCTTCCACACCTCCCCACATGTCAGGCTAAACACTGCACACTTCCTATCTCAAGTAACAACCCAGAACAGAACCAGCTATGTGTTTATGGTAAATACTGAACATCTTGGAAACATTATTCCCAGTGCTGGGAAACAAGAAGTGACTGCTGCTGAGCATCCTCATTACCTTGTCTGCGCCACATTCGGTGCCATCCAGAGGGGGGTCCAGCTTTGTTTTACAGGATGTGTCTCCTTCCACCAGGCACCAGAGCCCAGCACACATCAAATGCTGTAATCACAAAGCAAGGAGGTGCAGTTATTACTTATGGAGATGCCAGCCATCATTATGGGATACACTTCAAAGCTCAGGCAGTCTTTCTCAAGTGAATCCAGAGGCATCCAGTTGGTTTGGGAGCAGTTATTTTTTAAAGATTGATTGGCATTAAGTGGTGAGGCTGGAAACATGAAAGAGATTGATGGATGCCACTGACAGGAGCAAAACCGACCCCAAACAAAAAGTATGCTATTTAAACAGATTTCTTTTCACAAGAATAAATCTGGTCCATTAAAAAGGAATCCTATATGGGAGGCCAGGTTGGGTGCTTTGGAACCATGCCAAATGCTTAGATGTCCAAGATACTTAATTACTCCTATTTTTAAAAAAAAGACACTCAAGTAACTGCAGCTGGTGGTAGCAATAATGAGCCAGCAATGCCCCTGGGGAGAAGGTGGAATGAGAAAGGAAAGGATGTCATGGTGTGCTGTACAACAAAGGAGGAGCTTGGTGACAGGCAGGGTCAAAGATTGGGAATATTCTGGGCATCATTCCCCAGTGCTGCTGCTCTGCTCAGCCAGTGTGTGCTGCAGGGATCTCAGTGCTGACCACAACTGTGACCTGCCAGATCAAAACGTTTTCAGAATTTAAGAAAAAGCACCAGGAAAAGGGACCTTTGCATGGGTAACATTTTCCATAGCATCCACCATGCTTTGCATTCCATGGAAGGGGATGATTCCAATACAGTGCTGCATAGCTGAGTACCAAAAGAACAACAAAGAAGAATTACATTTCTTTCCACTATTGTTCACATTTCAATGTAATGGTAAAAAGATGAGAAACCTGACTCTAGTGCCAGCTGGTCTTGTCAAGATTTATTGCACCTCATTAAATAGTTGAGTCAACACGCTTGAGCCTCATGGTTCTTCCCCAGTGTAATGTAAGAGACTGTGGGTGCATGTGTGTTTTGTGTACAGGCATGTTGGTATGTCTCTATAAAACAGATCATGTCTCTATAAAATAGATCTGTACAAGAGAGGGTGCAGATGAGATAAATCCCAGTCCCAGTGATGATGTAGAACATTCTGACACAAAACAGTTATCACAGCAGTATCTGCATCCTGCTCCATTTCCACATTTCTTTCTGGAAAGAGGATTTTTCACTATTTAAACCCAAAGAACATTCACAAAAACTGGAAGCAGACAACATAATTCAGCATCTGTATTAACCACAATGCAGAAAGTCATTGTCAAACAAACAAACAATCAACCAACAGCAAATACTCCAGGGAAACCTAAATCAACGCATTTTCAAGACATTTTCTCTGAACAAATAGAGCATATGGGAAAATATCAGTCTTTAGTAATTTTGACTAAATGACTGTGACTAATTAGTGGTTTACCCACAGCTCTGAAAGCACTTAAGCACCAATTAGCCATGAAGACATCACACACAGTTTTATTGATAGGTACAGAGAGGCAGAAGCATTGACAAGGCAGAGATTTCAGAGCTTACTGAGAAATTCATTGTTCCACCTCACAGCTCCCAGATTCTCCACCCTCTGCCTTCTAAAGAAGACTAAAATCAAGAAGTACATCAATTAACCATCCATATGCATTACAGGAAGAACACAAATTGAGGCAATAAACCACAGCGTGAAGGCACTACCAGCAAAACCTCCTTCCAAACTGTGGTTGGGGACAATAGTGGTACTTAAAATAAAGGGAAGCTTTGGAAATGAAAGATGCACACAGCAAGTATTTCCACATTTCCAGGCTTCAGCCCCTCTCTTGCATATAACTACAACCCTTCAGAGCAGAATGTGAGGAGAAACACTCCAGCCAGACCTCTTGAATTACCCAGACAGAAATTTTGTCCCCGAAGGAAACCCTCTGCTTCTGCTTTCTGTCAGAGGAACATCCTGGCTGAAGATGTGATGAAATCCCATCCCTAAAGAAGTTGTTCTAGACACATATGATCACCATTGCTAAATGTCTGTGTATTACAGAAGACCAGTGTTTGTTCAGCTTCAGGTCCCTGGATCATAAACTGCATGTAAATTAGGGTTAATTTCTGCTCTAGGATGTAAAACTGGGAAGACAGAGGGGCTGGTGATAGAAACAAAGTCATAAAAATGAAACAGCTTTTTTTTTTTTACAATTTTGGCTAGCAATCAGAATCCCTCCATAGCCCACAAGAATATGGAAGGTGATAAAGCCAGGTCACGAGCCCAAGTATGAGCCAGGGCATTTGGAAGCAACGGGCAGAGATCACCTCAAATATGTGTGTTTGCACCTGCAAAAGAGCCCAGAGTAGGGATACAGAGGGTGGAAATATTCACAAACATGTGGGTGTGGTATGTTTATATCAATGTGTGTGTTTATGCCCGTATATCCATGTATACACACACATAATTTAGGGAGATCAATACAGGAAATACCTCTCTCAGCAACACCAACCTTTCTGAAATCTCCCATCTTCGAGGTATGGAAAACATTGGATTTTTATAGCATCCCTGTGTTTGATTCAGAATCCTAAATGCAAAGCATATTTCAGGAAACAGTTACAGAAAAATCTGGTAATGGTGCTGAGCTCAGTGTTCTGGTGCCACACCACTGCAAAGCCCAGTCCCTTGCATTTAACAGTGTTCACAGACCCCAGCAAAGATGAAACCATCAGCTTTGGGACTGTATGTTCCCAAGATGTTTTATCACGTTAATAGCCCTTTTCAAAAGAGATCATGTATCCTCCTCAGCTACAATAGGAACCCAAACAAAATTGCCCATTAAACAGCAAAGCAGTCAGTGACTATTTAATGGTTAAACAGCCAGCTTTGTGGGGAAATATCCAAGAGAGAAATGGCAGGACTTGAAAGGAAGTTGTTGTATGTGAGTGGCAGCTCAGAGCTTACACTGATACAGAAGAAGCCATCAAAAGAACTGTATCAGTGCTAATTCTGCATTCAGCACCCAGCTTTCAGATGGCAGGTCCCTGCCTGCAAAGCATTCCCTACAGCGTTCAAGAAGTGCCAGTGAGGATTTTCCAATGACAGATATTTCACACTGGAAAAATATTGATTTGTTGAAACTGTCTGTGGGGAAAGGTCATCTTTGGATCAGCTCCCAGTTTGAAATATTTCCAAGACAAAAATAAAATTTTAAAAAGCGAGATGGCTGCTGAGAAGAGTGTTTCAATAAAAATTTAAAATTATTTTTAAAAATGCTTTTTCAACTGAACCCGTAAGGAATTTATACGGCAAAAAAATAATTCAGAAACTGAAATAAAATTAAATGGTTATAAAGGTGCAAATTTTGAGCTCTCAGAAAGTACTGGGAGATAGGAAAACTTGTCTGCACAGCTGTTAGGAAGCAGTCCTGGGAGAGATCAGGATCTGGAAACTCCCAAGCTGGGAGAGATGTGCTGGGCAGGTGAGTGGTGCTTCCGATTACAGGGATTATAATGGCATCCGTTTGACAAAGGGGCCTCACTGTGCCAGGTGTTTTCTCTCCCCCCAAAGACCTCACCATCTAAACAGACTCCTGGGAGCTTGGGGATAAAGGAAGTTTTATCACTCCATTCGAGGTGGAAAGATGAGGAACAGAAAGGGATTAAATGTCTTGCTGAAAGTCTGCTGGGAGATGAGCTGAAGCAGAACTGCTCAGAGCTCTCTGCTCAGTGTCACAGCCACAGGCTCCTGTGTCACTGCCTGCTCCAGCTGAAGCCAGGCTCTGGCTCTGGCCCTTCCACCTTTCCCAGCTCCTCACACTTTCCCAGGACAGTGTCCCCTTCCCTGGGACTCCATCCCACAGACTCCCAGTGTGCAGAGCTCAGGCACGGCTCAGTGGGGGGATCTGTCTGATCCTTAGCTCAGTGCTGCAGCTGGAAATGAGGAGAAGGCAGAGTCACTCCAGCCAGCTCCTTGTCCACAGGCAGCCAGTCTGGAGCTCTTCCTGGGGTAGCTATTGCATCACCGCTGCTGCTAAAATCCGTGTGATCCTGCTCCATGACCTCATGTGGGCTCACAAGGCTCCCCCAACTCAAACTCTCAGATCACCACCTGCAAGGGGAGCTTCCAAACCTCCAAACTATAAAGAGAATCCAATGAATAAAGATGTCCTTCCCACCATGGAACAACTCTACAGAAGTTTGTTCATTCCCTGCACATTCACTCCTTTACCTTGTCTGCATCCAAGGAAAGAAACACTTATTTCTCCTGGAGATGAATTTGTTTCTGCTGCTCACTGGAAAGAGGAGCCTCTTCTTTCTAGCAGTAGAATTAAACCACCAGAAACCAATTTTTCTGTCAAAATGAGGCAACTATGATTAAGAACTTAGGAAAAGTAAATATCCCTAAGGGAGATGAGCAAGAGATCTCAGAACACACAGGCTTGCTTCTAAATAGGCTGACTTTCAATGAAGTATCAGAACTCTCTTATTTTGCCAAGGTTAAGGCTCAGCATATTGCTAACCAGGAGAGAAAATGTGCTTATGAATGGGATCATAATTAATATCTATTAGGTAAAATAAACACGCAATTTACTCATGATTTCCTGTTCAAAGCACAATGCAAATGTTCTTCTCAAAGTCAGGATGCTTCTGAGCAGCAAGTCTTTACACAAGGTGACAAAAACAATGCCCCAAATTTCTACACCATCGCTGTCTTTAATTTTGGGTGCATAAACAACCCACAGCAATCACAAAGGAGGTGAACATTGTTAGGTGGAGCTTCTTACTGCTGAAAATGAGATGAAAAGTGTTCCAAACTCAAATCCTGCAAAACTGGAAGGCACTTCTGGAAAGGAGCCACGTTGACCCAGACAAGATAATTGTGAAACTCAGATCCGTGTCTCAGTGGCCAAACTGCTGACCTGTGTCTAGAGCTGATATTCCAAGATAGTGCCAGACAAGCAGTGAAAGACTCCCAGACTGCAAGAAAAGCACAAAGCAACAGAAACACTTTTCTTTTTTTTTTTTACTGTACATTGGGAAGCAAACAATGAAACAGGAAAACACT